GGACATAAGGTTGTGAGAACAGGAAGCAAAGATATTGCAAGTGGATCTCCATGGGTAATAGTGAATCGTGCGACTCCCATTTCTATTTGGTAATTTCTGGACACATGGATCTTGGCTATGAGATGAACAACACCACAAAATGGATGCAGATTCAGAGCATGTACAACTTCTGGAGAACGTTGCCGAAAACCCGCAAGTTATTGCCACCTTGCTGACCCTGTAACTGCAATGAAAAGGTCACATTGCCCTTCTGTAAAACCAGCTGCTTCAGGATGATGGAGAGCACAGTAAGACCTGTGAATTTCATGAGCATGGGCCCATTGCAGCATTTAATTTTCTGTGAAGTGAATTGTTTGATCGCAAGCAATGCTGTGTGGGACACCATATGGCAGATATGGCATTCTGAAGTCCAGGAATATTGTTTTGCCAGAAGCACTGCTTGCAGGGAAGATAAATTTGTATCCAGAGAAAATGTCTGTTCCAGGAGGAACAAACCCCTGCCCCTTCCACAATGGTAAGTGTTCAATGTAATCAACCTGCACCAGTAACTGGCTAATCACCTCCAGGAATGGCATCATATTGGAGACTCAGTGTAGGTTTCTGCTGATGGCAGATTTGGTACATACCCAGCAGTGGTTGTAGCCAGGTTGGCTTTGGTGAGTAGAAATCTATGTTACTGAGCCCAGGTATCATCTCCACCTGTACCACCATGGCCATTTTGTTCATGAGTCCACTAAGCAAAGAGGATGAGAGGTATACAAAGAAAGAGTCTTCCCATCCACTTTATCAAAACTTCTCCTGCTGAGGTCACCTTGTGGAAATTAGTCACTTGAGAGACAGATATCTGCACATTTTTTGCCCATTTAGAAAGGTGTATCCACATGCCTTATACTGAGAATCTCTTTCCAACTATTTTCCAATCATGTTCTTTAAAATTCTCTGACCATCCATCCAAGCCATTGGCCATAGCCTATGAATCCATATACAGTCACATCTGTGTTCATTTCTCTTTTCAAGCAAAATTAATAATCAACTACACTACTCAAAGTTCTGTCTACTAGAAACATCTCTCTTCAATACAGTTCTTCAGGTATGTCTCAGAGGGATGCCTGCATACCATACAGAACTATTTATACACAGACCTTCGTTTTCCCTTCCTGAGTCAATAATTATAAGGAACTCCCCTATGAGGCCATAGGTACAGGCCAGGAGAGAAAAGGTAATGTAGCAGAACTGGGAGCCATGAGCATTTGGACCATCTCCTGGTGTCGTGTACTTGTGCCTTCAGGGCTTCCTTCAACCTGATCTCCTGTATACCAATTCCATTAGCTGATGGAGTGCTGCTGTGCACCCTCAACACTATGGATTGTAGGTCAGATAACACCCAATTAATGACGGGTAGCTCAGATCATATGGTCATTTGGTGGCCTGTAATGAATCATTCAGTCTCTACTAAGGCCTAGTTGCAAACCAAAAGCTTTTCTCAAAAGGAGAGTGGTTATCTGCAGAGGGTGGCAGGGCTTTGCTCATGGTTCTTAGTCCTGCCACTTTACCTTTTCTCCCCTAGCCTGCACCTAAAGTTATTCCCTGTGATTCACTCACAAGAGGCTGCCAAAGGCTCCACGTAGTTCTTTATCTGCCTCTGACAATTCAGTCTTTGTTGGATCTGCTGGATCATATCATCCAAGTGGCAGAGTAACTTGCACAGCATCCTGGACCTGATGCAGAGCCCTCTTACATTCTGGGCCTCACTCAAAACTAGCAGCTTTTCAGGTCAGTCAGTAAATGGGCTAGAGTAGCACACCCAAATGAGGAATATGCTGCCTCCAAAACCAAAGTGCAGTAAGTGTTGTGCCTGCTTTTTGGATGTAGGTAGAGCCAGATGTAGCAAGTTATCCTTCACCTTAGAAGGACTATCTTAATGGCCCCCATTACTGGACCCCTAAGAAATTTCACTGTGGGGGTGGAGGAGGGCTCCTGATTTTTATCAGATGAATTTCCCATACTCTGAAACCCAAATTTATTTTTAATAAGTCTAGAGTAGTTGCTTCTTCTTGCTTACTAGATCCAGTCGGCATAATGTCATCCATGGAACAGGTCAGTGCAGGGTCTTCTGGATGGGAAAGGTGATCAAGTTTCTTGCAGACTAGATTATAATATAGGGCTCGAGAACTGATGTATCCCTGCAGTAGGACAGTGCATGTGTATTACTGGTCTTGGCAGTTGAAAGTAACTGTTTCTTACACTCTTTCATAGTGGATCTCGGGGAAAAAACAGTTGCCCTATCAATAGCTGCATACCAGGTAACAGGAGATGTCTTATTTGTTCAAGTAATAAAACCACATCTGGCACAGTGGCTGCAATTAAGGTCACAATCTACTTAAATTTACAGTTATCAACCAACGTCTTTAAGATACATTTGTTTTCCACACTGATCAAATAAATGAGTTGAATGGGCATCTGGTGGGAATTGTTTTCCCTGCATATTTTAAATTTTTGATCATTGTACTAATCCCTGCACTCCCTCCAGAAATGTAGTATTGCATGTGGTTTACTATTTTTCTAAATAGAGACAGTTCTACTGCATTCCACTTATCCATTTTTGCCTTATGAGCCCTCACTCCTTAGGTCAAGGTCCTGGGGGAGTGGTCAAGATGGCCAACTAAAAGAACCTAGGGTGTGTGGCTCTCATGGAGAGGAACAAAGGAGCAAGTAAATGCAGTACCTTCAACTGAAACATCCAAGTACTTTCACTGGGATTAATCAAGGAAACAACTCAACCCATGGAGCTTTAGATACTCTAGGTTTCTAGCTTCCTGGCAAAGTAACTGCAACTCTGGCAAAGTGGGAGGTTAGACGCCCATAAATATCCATAGGAAACAGGCTGAATCCACAGGGCCAAACAGTAGTGTTCTGCAGGCCCCATTTCCACGTCGCTTCACAGGATAAGATCAATTGACTTGGAATTCCAGCCACTAGTTGCAGTGTTGCGCCTAACTGGGACAGAG